TTCCAAACCAAACCATTCTGTGATTCTAGAATGATCAGAGCCAGTCCCATAGTAACATTATATTGCAGCGGATGTAGCTGAGACCAAAATCTGTCCTCCAGCTGAGTCAGTGGATGTTGTCTGCTTATGATAATTGCATTGTTGCGGAAAGGGCCATGGTAGGAGCTACGGCAGTGTCTTTGGAGACGGCACGTGAAGAGGTGATATCTCTTGATACCTAGTTAAGTAGACTGCAAATTCTTTCCAGCAGGTCTGCCAAACATCTCTGATGTGCTGAGAAAAGTGTTCTTTGGTGTCTTTTGGGACAATGTTTCCTTTTGTGCATTAGACACTTACAAAAAGAAGCATTATTTATTCATTTATTTAAGCTTCTTTAAATCTACATGCCTTAGATGAAACACAAGATAGGGCAGTTAACTGCTGACAAGTTTGAGCTCCTATAATGGATACCCACAGAATTTCACTCTAATTCCTGCATTAGGGACTTGCTTGGTGTTTTCTGTTTGTTTTGTTTTCTTTTGTTCTTAATGTGAGCAATTATGATTTTTTTTTAATTAAAAAAAAAAAAAGCTTGCCCTGCTAGGAAAGTTTTTAACAAACTATTTAGAGCTTTCCAATGAATTTTAAATTGTAACTAGCATTATACTGCCAGAACAGTGTAGAGATTTAGATGCTTTGGCAAATCATGCCATATTTTAGATCTGTTCTTTGTGTTGGTTTTTAGAAAATGATGTTTGCTTCATTTGGGTTTTGCTGTCTTTGCATGTAGCAGAATAATTAAAGGCATAATAACACCAACTGGAAAAACGGCATCTAAATAAATGGACAGATTTCCTATAATCTTTGGGGTTGGAGACTTTTCTTTTTTTGCCCATCTTCTACATTTAGCACAATAGCCTCCTGGTCTGTGACTGGTCTTCTAGGAGCTGTAATCACATAAATAATAATTAGATGGAAGTTAGAAACAGCATGACTGTACTGAACAAATATGCATAATTAAAAATGTGTCTGTATCAGTAGGAGTGAAGGAAAGTGAATATACTTCAAATATTCAGATTTTAATACCTCATTATTCAAAGATCATAAACATTAGTTTAAGGAATAGATTAAAGGGAACTCTTCCCCTTCCCCCAATCCATTTATTTCTTCTCCCATATTTAACAACTGATGGTGGATCAGACATCTGCAGAATTTGTTGAGTCTTTCCCATTTTTTCATGCCTAGGAGATATATCTTGAGGCTGCAAATCATTGGGCTGAGCTGGTGAAAGAGAACACAGGTGCCTCACAGCAGCCTTTGTGAACTCAATCTCATGCTACCCATAGCATAAGATGCTAGTCTTCCAACACTAGTTCTGTTTAAAGTGGATGCTTGGCCTGCTGGTTAGCAATGGGGCATATTTTTGGCTCCAAGAATACACTTTTGAAGTCCTTGAAGACACAAAATATTGGAACAAGATTGCAGGATAGGAAATTGTAGACAAAGTGGTGTAGCTAGCATTGCAGAGATGGAATGAATGGATGTTTTTCCCAGTATCCTAAACTCTGCACTAATCAAGTCAAGTATTAAACAGCTGTTAAATACTGTTACCAATGATTATTTAGGCAAAGCCCAAACTTCTATATGTGTATAGCATATGTGGGATACATGTATTTACAGTAACATAGGTTAACTTTCAGAGAATATACACAACTTAAAAAAAAAAAATCATATATCATAAACAATAGATCTTACACATTTTTACCCCTTCAAATGGTAAAATATTCAAGTTTTAAAAGAAAAAAAATAAATCAGAAACCAAAATGTAAGGTCAAAAACATATTGGGGGACCTGAGCTGCATGCCTATATGTTTCTATTTTCTTCTTTTAGTTCTAGGTGTTGGTAACTAAAATTTCCCTTTGGTACAGCAGATGGCTATAACAATATGCCTGTCTCCTTAGTATTTGTTGGCAGTCTAGTTTGCTTTTTTGTGTGTAAAGTAGAAAGTAGCAATAAAGGCAGTAGCTGAGGATGTGCTGTGCATGGAGCACTAGTAAAGTGGTTGAGACATTGCTGGCAGCAGGAGTCTGCAAAGAAACCATCATATCAGAACAAAAACAGCTGTCTGCCAGCACCATAAACGTTAGGAAATGCTGTGGGTGATTAGTTGCTGCTCCTAATGTGTGAAAGTTGGCCTGTCTGCATACAGGCAAAATAAACTCCCTTTTACTTCTTGCACTCATACGTGGAAATCACAGGACATTATGGGATTGATTATGAGTCATAAAAGCCAGGAAGTTCAGTTTCAGAGTGAAAGCCATGGCAATGACTGTCTCTTTCTATTTGGATGTCATTGTGTGAAAAGCTAAGGTGAAACGAAAAGGAACAGGAAACAAAACTCAAATAGAGAATGGGACAAAACTCTAATGGGAAAAGCAACTTGGTCAGGAAGGAACACTCACACATATAATATAAGGCACCTGGCCTCTCTGAAACTTTTTTTTTTAAGTAAACCTTAGTGGTCCTGAAACAATAGCACAAGAATGGTCCAGCAAACCCACATACTACTGAGTGCCACGTAGTCTTTTTCCCCAAAGAAAGACATCCTCCTTATTTCCACTATCCCACCAGACTGAACATTCTGAACAAACACCACTTCAAAGAAAGCAGAAAAAAATCCAGAACGAGGGAAAAAAAGAGAATATAAAAGTTTTTTTTGTCATGAAATTCTTCAGTTACATTTGTCCTGAATAAACTGCTTAGCTGGCCATTTCAGAAATGAATCAACTGTGACTGTAAATCTGGGAATTTAATGTGGATTAAAATTATCCTTGTTTTGTGCTGCATGGCATTTTGAATATTTTCTTTCTGTGAGGGATTTCTCATGCTGAATTGGTTATGAAATAGATCTGAAAACCAAGGCCAGAAGGTGGGGTTACTTAATTTTCTTTTCTATACCTCTGAGCTGACTGCTTTTTTAGCAATCATAACAAAAAGATAAACATTTATATAGCACCTGCCAGTCTATGGCTTAAAAGCACTTAACACACTTCAATATATACTATTGTACAGAAAAGGAAAAAATACAGTTCTAGGGTGAAAGGTAATTTCTAGCTGATAGTGATGCTGGAAAACAGAAAGTCAACTGAGTTTAGAGCAAAGTAAAACAGAACAATTCAAACTAAGTACCGACTACGAGAGCAGAGTTAATACTTCTACTGCTGCAAAATTTGTCAAAGGGAATTTCAAAGCCTGATTTTTCTTATCTTTCATACACAGACTGTAAATCTTGGGTCCAACGAAACAAATGGATGGTTTAGTGCTTTTACAAAGGACTAGGTTTTGTTCCACCAATTTAGTAAGGTAGACCCCTGGAAGAAATGGTAAGGTCTGGATCTCAGTGCCCACAAGGAGTTAAGAGGGGCTGTAGAAATGACTGATGCTTTTGCCTGTGTAATAAAACTAAATTCTCGGGTGGAGGGAGACCGCAATATTTCTGAGTGCTTTTTCCTCACAAAAGTGTCACAGAAAGATTTTATTTCATTCTGCATGATCCACTTCATTGTATTTGCAAGAAAAGTAAAGGAAATGAAGACTTTTACTCTCGGAAATGCCTTTTTTTTACTTTTTAATGCTAGTCAGCAGCCTGGTGATTTAGGAGACATCCTCAGGAGAATACCAGGACTAGCAGATGATATCAGAGGGAGCTTTAATTTCTTCTACTCTTACTGTTCAACATTGGCTAAACAATTAATGATTTACTAGAGAAAGCTAGGGAACAGCAGAACTAGGGGCCCTAGGAAAAAGTCCTAGAGGTTGTTCCATAAAGTCACTCTCACTCTGTGAAATGAATATTCAAGTATTCCATAAAAAGTAGGACACCTCCAAGAGGAAGTCATGAAAGAGCTCTGCCTCCAAATGCCCTGTCTCACAGGACAGATTTATTTCATGAACATAAGCAAACTGCTAACTTTTGCATGTGTAACCTTAATTAAAGCAGAATTTAACATTATTGTTTTTCTTTTTAGCCAGTTCAGAGATTTTTCTGCTTACTAGGAAGACTATTTTAAGAAACAATTTAAATATCTTAAGTGATAGGTAAAATATAATACAGATATGCTAAGTTTAACCTTTAAAAGAGTTCTTAGCTGTTCTACCCCCAAACTAAAATCAACAGAATAAAAATTGCCCTGGATTAAAGAGGCATACTCCTTTTTTCCATCATGGAAGAGAGATAACCTCAGTCCACATCTATAAAGGAACTCGTTGTGTAATATGAAATTTCAGTTGCTAACAATTTCAAATGAATTTTCATGAAATCTGCTTTGCATCTCTCAGATTGCTCGCAGTTAATAAGAATCAGTGTACTTGCTACCAGACACATCGATCCAAACATCCTGGTACAGGGTAATACGTGCTATGCCACGACACTAACCCTGGTCCCAGGGTATTGTAGCTCTGCAGGTACAGCACCCTTCTCTAGTTTTCTGTCTACCCCTCCTAGAAGGGAGCCTACAATATATAAGCATGCAGGCTGGCTAGCACAACCTATGTTTGCGCTATGTTTCAGACCTGTGTTGCCTCCTGTTCTGGATCTATATTATTCAGAGCCAGTTAGAGATCTCTAAGTAAGTGTATCGTGTGGAGCCATGAACTCCAAAGCTTTTGGAGACACCATCTAGTACATGGGAGAACTTGGGTACCAGGAGGCCAGAGGAAGGGCTAATGACCATGTCCCACCCTTTAGGACTGAAAAGTCCTCTCATCTTTTAGGGCTGACAAGTCTGATCTTCACAGCCTGAGCTGGCATTGCTGAATTTCACAAAATACTTACCTTCAGTATTACCCAAGGAAGAAGCGCCAGATGAATGCACCAGAAGAGCAGTACCTGTCTGTAAGACCCTCCTCAGCCTGGAGTTATCAGCTGCAGCTACAGACTCTCAAGGGACCACCCTGACCTTGAGGCTAGGAATGAGCAGAGAGAAAAGCTCTCTTTGCCTTTCCTGCTGAAGCTGGCCCACAGGAATGCATGATTTCAGCAGTACACAAAGGGAAACATGACTCTCTAGCCTAATTGCTTTGGCATTTACTTCAGAGGTGGAAGACTTCAGTTCTGTCCTTTTTCCCAAGGCTTATAATAGATTTTACATTTAAGAAAAGTAAGTAAAATATGTTAAAAAAAAAAGTTGGGAGAAAGAGTGGGTCCTTCTCCTGCTAACTGCAGTAGTATCTCTCTTCTTCCTCCTGCTTCTCCCACATTAATTTTGCTTGGGGGGGGGGGGGGGGTGGTCGGAAATAAGTACTGAGTCCCCATCTGCTGCTTCCTGCTCAATGCTCTGAGTGCTTGTAAGATGCAGGCAGCAGCTCCAGAAACATTTCTACAAGTTCACAGCCTCTTTTCACAAGAAAAGAGTGCAAGTAATCCATACTGTGGTATGTGTGTGTGACGTATAGTCTGGAGAGACAGGAGGCTTCTCTGAGCTCTAATATAGGGAAGAGGCAAGATTTTAAGGTCTTCTCTGGTATTTCTCAGTAGCTGTTATGGACTTTTGCATGCTCCGTGTGCTGGCTACAGCGAAACTCATTCCTTAGCCTTTAAGTCTCATTATACTTTTAAAAGGGTATTTAAGCACCTAACTTCAGGTTGTAAATTGCACAGAAGCCTAAAGGTTACATATGGCAATGCTGCCCACCAAGGAGCCTGTGCTGTTTTCCAGATCTGACCAAATGCTTTACAGGGAAGGCCTTTTAGTCAATTGCCTAATGCTGCTTATGTTTTAGAACTGCTATTACACAATATGAGATTTCCATGCTCAAAGGGCCTCTGTGCATTCCCTCCACCAGTTTTGCTATGCTGGGGGAAATGCTTGCACAAACAGAAATGATGGTAAAGAAAGTGGAGAGGAAAAATATCAGGACAGAAGAACAAAACTGTATTTCTTCTAGCTCCATCAGCTTGGCTATATTTACTTCCTGACAGCAACTTTGAAATGGCAAAGGAATTCCTTCTTCCAGCTCTTCCTGTGACCTAAATGCATAATTGATGAAAACGTATTGGTTACATGAAAGCCTCACAGAAACCACCAGGAAAGCATTGCAGATTATTTTTTCCTCCTTTTGCCACTATGTTTTTACAGATGTGATATGTGGTTTAAGAAGCCAAAGGAGACAGGCATGCCTGAGCCCTGCCAAATAGTCTAAACAAAGAAAAGATTTCTTTCTTTCCTTTCCCCTTCCCTTTCCCTCTAGAGAGCTCAGCACATCAGACTAAAAATTATATATATGTATGCATTCGCTTTTAATTGGCATACCGAAGAAAACTGATGAGAACGATTATTTATAAATTTAGAGCAAACAGTAAGACATCTTGTCGTACACGAATCAAAACCCTGCTGCCTTTGTCAGCGTGTGCACAGTTTGTGGCACCGAGCGTGCAGCGCTGCCATACCGAGTATTTGAACGCCACCTCGTGGGCCTCTGCGACCTGAAACCTCTGGAGCAATTAAATTAAACTCAGGCTCATTGCCCTGACAGTGATTAATAAATAACCCGAATGTGGAGCAGTGGGTCACCAAACACCACACCGGGCGACCAGTTCAGCAGCAGCGGGTCAGGGGAGTGTTTGCTGGGGCACCTGAAATGCCGACCGCTGGGTCACGGCCTGCCAGGAGGGCACTTCCACCACATCCAGCTCCTCCTCACACTGAGGATATTGGCCTCTGCCAAGCATCCTGGGGTACTTGAATACCCTTATAAAAGATAAGATATTCTCTTTGAAGTTCACAGAGAGTCAAAATACGAAGACAGTTGTGGGGCCTTTTGGTGGTGCGGGACAGTGTCTGGCTGCTTTGACAAATTGCCCCTCTGTTGTGCTCAGAGCAGATGGAGCTGTGGTAGTTGCAATGATGGGTTTGGTTTTCTGTTCTCCCGGGACAGGCAGATTGTGTGCATCTCTGTCAGAAAACAAGATCACTGTGATTCCTGGTGTGGCTGTGCAGGGCGATGCAGTTACTGAATATCTGTAAGGCCTACAGGAAGGAACGGTGGGAAGGAAATGTCCGGTCAGACCTGCTGGGGCCCAGCTGAGAGGCCAGTCCCAACCGGGAGGATCCTCAGCCAGCTATCGCAGTTCCCCACCTTTTCCTCTGGCTGTTTCTGTTCCCAGAGCCCTAAAGCACCGGGACAATGGGGCTGGGAGGAGGTGGCGGGGCAGTGGCCATGCAGGGAAGGCAGCGGCAGCACGGCTGCTCTGGCTGCTGTTGAATATGGCTCTAGGTAGAGAAGAGTGCCTGGTGTTTCTCTCCCTCACTCCCTCTGTGTCTATCACAGTTGTTGCAGGTTTTTACACTGGAGAAGATGGTCAGTGTTAACAGGCTGGCATGAAGGGCTCACACTTCTATATGATGCCCAGTGTAACTGTGCACCCACACGGAAACGGCAGAAGTTTATTTTCTGAGTGCGAGGTTGCCCATTAGAAACGGGGAGGATGGGTGTGCAGAAAACCTTGCCTCTCCACAGGTCTCATTCTGGGCTGAATTTCCAGCTGGATCTCACAACATTTGCGCCTGGCACTTACAACATCCACATCTCATAGTTCCTTAATTTCCCTGCTCCCACAGACTTAACCCTCTAACACAAACATATCAGTGGTATTGGCGTTCCTTTCGCAGGCAGGAGCCTGGGGTACAGTTCTTGCCTCTCTATCCAGTGAGCAAATGTAATCACATTTAAGGCCATTTTCTTTTTGTCTTAATAGATATTTTCGTGGAGAATGAAACAGCTTCAGTAAGAGAGGCAGAGGCTGTCCAGCTCAAGATACTCCATATCATCATGAATGGAGCATTCTCTTGAGAAAAAGGGTTCTTGGCATGGCAATAATTCCCCCTCTCCCTCCGTGTCATTCAAGCTTGAACATCAGGAAGACAGAAATATAATGTGGAGCCAGAAGAAGAGCAGATGAGAAAGAATCTGGTACAATAGTCTGTATACATCAGGACATCGTGTGGGCAAACTGGGTCCCAGTCCCTCTATGTTTTGTCTTTCACATTTCACCAGCACTGAATGTTTATTCTGTGGAAATAATGCTGGGAACCAGACGATTGCTCAGTTAATGACTTTCCTCCTTGCCAATTTGTATTCTGCACAGTAGCCCCACTGCAACAGAAAGAGCAGATGTGTTGATTTGTTTGGGGTTTGGGCTTTTCTTTTGGTTATTACAGAAAAGTTGCAGCAGGGAGGCAGAGTGGGCTGGAACTTGAGGCTCAAGGAGAAGAAAGGCAGAAGCATACAGCATAGAGCATGAAATGAGAAAAGCAGGAGGGAGATAAGGGTGTTACCTGCCATACCTGTTTATCCTTACGTGGAGGGGCAACTGTTACATGTGGAAGAATGCCTTTGTGTATGGAGGGAGGCAGTCTGGCACTGTGCGATTTACTAAGCTGGAGCCACTGTAGCTGTCGAAAGGACAGGGATTTCTTTTGCCCAAAACCAGCTTGGCAGAGAGAAAGTGGATGATTTCATGACTTCAGGCTCCCAGTCTTGGAAGGGAGAGGTACAGCACAGCTTATGACTTATTCCTTGTGCTTCTGTGACTAGTGCTTTGAGGGAGCGTTCCTCAAAAGTTGAGATGTAGCCAAAACTTAATTCAGATAAAATGTTGAATATCTGTAACATGGAAACCTTCAGTCAGACTGAGCTTATACTTTTATTATATCCCTAACTGTAGTACCACTTGAACAAGTATATAAAATATAATGGCAAAACAGGTACTTAAATAGAGGATAGAGATTAAAAATCATGAATTACTGCAATAATCCAAATGATGATTGATCTCAAGCAGTGATCACATAGGTGCAGTTTAAATATTCTGTTCAACAAAAAAATAAAATGTTTTATTCTTTGGCTTAGTTTGCTGATTTTTTTTTCCAAGTGGTTTGACCATTTGTATGTTCAGTACCAAAGAAATACCTTAAGGATTCCAAAACTGTGAACCAACTGTTTAGCAGTCTGGAAAACAGCATATTCAGAAGGAATTTTGAAGAGGTAATCTCAGACTTCATCTAATCTATACTTGTATCTGTACTTGCAAGAAGCCAAGGACAGTGTTCAGGCTATAGCAATACCTGAAAATATAACTGACCCCACTCTGGTAATTATGAGAGTCTAAGCAGGCACCCAAGCTCCCTATGAAAAATCCAGGTACAGAATGTGCATCTCAAAGTCACTCGGAATAGCCAGCTGAGACATCTCTAAGTAGAAGCCTACAACTGCTTGTAGAACAATGCTCCCGCTGGCTTACCAGAAACCCTACTAGAGCAGCAGTTACAAAAAGGGGAGCTGTGCTGGTCTAAATACGCTCAGGTGCCACTCAACACCCCGAAGAGCTGGTATCATGGGAACTGGGATATTTACCTAACACGATAAATGGATCCCAGCCCTACCAGATCCCAAAAATCTCTAACAATGAGGCTATTATGCAAAAGGTAAGGGCTGGAGATGGCAACTCTTGTACTTTGGTTTTCTGGAACTCACTGCTGACTGGGGCCATGCTGTGACTTTTGTTAGAGTTTGTGTCCTCCACCTCTGAACTGCAGCAAAGCTTAGATGTTTCTTTTCCCAGGCTTGAGGAGTTCAAGAGTCTTATTGTCCCCTCCAATTCTTTCAGATACTTTGGTGTCTAATGGTGATCTAATATAAGAGTTGGATGAGTAAAAGTTGTCTGAGGCAAAATGCAAGTTTGTTAATGATGTAAATGTTAAATATTATTTTATAAACCTTGGGGCTTCATAATACAGAAATACCTTTCCATGTTACCTGGTGGTAAACTTTAGAGTTATGTTTTTCCTCTAGTCATGCCACTTTAATTATTTAAAATGGTGCTTTCCCATGGCACAATTATTCCAGGCACTCCTATCTACTACATTTATCAAAGGAGAAATGCTCAGTATTTGATGCACCAGCCCAGAAGCATTTCATGTCGACCTGTGTGCAGTGCAGTTAGTCCTCACTAACAGCTATTAAAATAAAGAGCTTACTACAAAGTGGGGAAAATGTTATCTTTTGAGATACATTTTATAACATTGATTGTACTCCATAGAAATACATATGTTTTTAGCTTGAAATCTTACTCCTTCCTAGTGAGGAAACTAGTGAGCAAATACTGCACTGGGGATGGTCCTCTTGAGAGCTAGACACCATGGTGGACATAACTTTGAGAACAAAACAATTTTCTGTGGTTAAAATAGTTGACTGTCTAGCTTCCTAAGCAATTTGCATGTTTGTTGTGTGTTTGTTGTTGCTGTTGTTGTTTTCTGGGCCCTTTACTGAGTCTTTGTGGATTAAGAAAGGCTGCTTAATCTGTAAAGTATGTGCTCCATAATGAACGCTGGCCCACTCAGACATTGCTCCTAAGGCTGTGCAAGCCGGAGACGGACCGCAGGGGCTTTGCAAATCCCCACGGGGAGCTGTGCACTGATTGTTCAAGCTGCAGAATCCTTTTTCAAATGAAACACAGCTGAAGAAGCTGGGGAAAACACTGTATCCATAGGAATACTCAGATTGTTTTGACCCTGACTATACAAGATAATTTTGAAGATAGCACGGGTTGAAATCATTAACTGTGCTCAAGCTGTGCTTATAATGCGCTCAAAGTGAGCATATTAATTATGCTCAGAATGCAAGAAAGATGAAAGAAGAGATGCAGAGTTGACCAAATGCTGCAGCCCCAGGTCAACAGTTCCTGACAAATTCTGAGAGCTCATAAGTGCTTCAGCGTATAGTTGCCAGTCATTTCCCAGCTCCTGATTGCCTTCACTGAGGATTCACTACTTACTGGTTGAGATGGTGAACATACATTGATCTGTGCAAATACAGCAACTATTTTTCTGAAAAGTCCATCTTTTTGGTAATGTGTTAAGATAGCAAGCCAAAAAACAATCAGAAAACTCAATGCAGAATACCACTGCAAGTCACACCAAGTTTTCCATGTCCTTCAGCAGGGAGTGATAAAAAATCCTGTATACCATGAGAAAAGCCCACCTACCACAGGTGCACCTTTCTTGTGTGGGATGTAGCCTGTAAGATGGTGCTTGGTGGTAGACTAAGCTACCACAGTGGGAGCAAGATTGCATTTGGAGCTGGAGCAGAGGACCAGGGCAAAAACTGTAATTTGCTACAATATTGCTTGTAGCAAGTAAATAAGGAGGGGGCTCCTGAAGGAGCAGAAAGGCACGTGGATAGCAACAGGCCATTTGGTTTAGCAGAACCGAGCACCTAGGCCAGGATGTGTGGTGCACAGCTGTGACAGGGCAACGCTGGATTCCTCTCAACATTTTCTCTTCCATTTCCTGGTCTGCCATCACAAGTGATGACAGGTAGGTCTAAGGCTCAGTCCCTTGTGACCAACTACAAACTACAGGAACAATTACTGCTTATTTATGCTGCTGCAAGCCTGATGCCTACTGGCTTCTTCATGTATGCATTGGGCCATGTTAGAGCTACAGCAATCCACGGAGCAAGCTGGAGGCCCTGGGACTCCAGCACCAGCTTCTGAAGTGAGTAATTTAACTTAAATTAGGATAATGCTGACATATCAGTCTTATCAAATTTGTTCCCTGGAGCATGCCTTTAAATCTGTAATGCTTCTTTTGGATAAACCATTGATTAATGTCTTATTTGCATAATGCCATAGCGCCTTTCTATTTGCTTGTTAGTACATTAATCAGGATGAATCTCATTGTCTGCTACTACACAAAAGTTCTGTCATTTAAGGGATGTTTCATCCAAGTAAATGTGCACAATTGAACCTGCCATTTTCAGTCTTTGGGCCTAGCTCTAAACTAAGGTAAAAATGAAAAAAAATATATATATACAAAGTCTGAAATAGTAAGGGCTTTGTGACATTTAACTTTAAACAAATTTCATGATGATTGTAAACAGAAGAGCCTGATAGGATAAATCTTTTTTCTTCTCTTTTTAGATTTCTTTAATAAAGGATTTGTGATGCTGAAGTGAAAATCATTTCCTTCCAAAAATGAAACAGCCAGCTGTCAAGGTTGATTCATTGAAGTCTACTTCATGGAATGTACTAACTTCTAATTTCGTATGAGGTAACCCAAAGCTGAACTAGATATCCTAAACCATTAATCCGGCTTGAATTATTCCTATAGGTGGTAAAAAGAAACATCAAAATCATACAGAGACATTATGATACAATATTCCAATTAACAATATGTTTGAGCAATGTTTCCAATACAGTAAGTCAGTTTTATTTAAAAAATAGAGTCCAAACATTGTTTTTGATAAGGTGCAACATATATACCATTTTCTACAATTAAAACAAACAAACAAACAAAAAAAAGCAAAACAATATTCTTAATAGTGTCATTCCAACACAGAATCAATGGGTCTTCTGTAATTCTTAAACATTCTTTTTCTGCTTCTGCAAAGCATAAGAATTAATAATTAGTGTCACTGTGACAGCCAAAGGATCTGGCTAATCCCATCCATGTTCTCTGTTTTAATAATAAACTTTCTGGTACAAATTGCTTCAAGTATACATCAGAAGCTGAATGTAACTGAACACAGTTCATGCAAAACAAAGGTACAATACTGAACTTGCATCATTCAAAGGTTTTTGTTCTCTTGTTTAATGTGACATCAAAGTCCAACTGCTTGAATGTGAGGACTTAAATCCAATTACATGAATGTGAGGTTGCATAAACTGAACACTGGATATCAAAGTACGTATGTAACTCAGATTCAACAGGCTATGTGACTCTATTTTGAGTTATACAGATTCAAATACTTAAGGCTGAGATCTATGCCTTTTAGAGTCTATTCACTGACTTCTGAGACACATTTGGGAATAAGGATGGAAAACGGTAACTAATAATGGGCTTGTTATGGGGAATTATTACATTATAACTGCATTTTTTGCAAAAAGCATGATATTAATTTATACAAGTGTTCTCCATGCAGCCACTCAAACTCTAAGAGCGATGAAAATTGTAGCATGAAGGAAATTCAACAGAAGGGCTTACAGCCAACTACCATCTCTGGAAGTTTTCTCATTATCAAAGTCTGTCCTGTTTCTAAGCTTTCTTCATCATTCTAGCATTAACTCAGCCATGATAACACCAAGCAGCTGAAGTCAGCTATTCCTATGCCATTTCTGCAGAGCTAGATGTCAGTCCCTGCTCTAAGGAGATTTAGTGTATTTTGAACAGACTTTGGAACTAAGAACAGCAGTCTAACCACCCATGTACACAGTTACACATTCAAACCTTTTTCTCTGACCCTTAAATATTTAAATGATGCCATCTAAAGAGGAACATGTTTGGTGAAAAAGAGCTGGACCCTCATTTACCCACCTTCTAGCTTGGGTGGTAGTCCCAAAGTTAAAGTCTCAATTTCTTCTGTTGTTGCTTCCTACAAACCACCACCATGCTGGTCTTATGGACCCTGTTCTTAAGTCCTTGAATATCCCTGAGTCCTTCTCATATGCAGCCTAATAAGAAGAGCCAACAAGATATCACAGGGCTGGCTGTTGGTTTTAGTGGATCAGGCCTCTGGGTACTAAGGCGAATTTGCCACGCAAGTTTATGCCTATGCATAACCATGGACTGAGCCATAACCCTAGTCAATACCCAGATGAGTTCATATTCACAAGTTTAATCTCAGTTAGCTGACTCAATATCTTTTTCCTCAGGAAATGACATTTTATTTCAGCATGGATGTATTATCCTGGTTTCTGTTAGCAAACACATGCTCTGAATGCTCTTCAAAGTTAGCTCTGCCATGGACTAAATTCTAGTGTGGCATGGACTGAAATTTCCTTGGCCAACAGAGAAGGCATTAAGACCTCTCCTTTTCCCTGACATATGTGAAGCATGGGGTTTGATTT